TTTTGAAATCACACGTGGTGTGGCAATTCTCCCGTGTTTTTGTGACTTCACGGGATTAACGGTGTGAAATGCTTTCGCTCCCGTTTCGTGTCAGAATAGCTCCCGGTTGGAAGGGAGCTCATGTGTGAAACTATTTCATTACGCACCGCTTCCACGTCTGGTGGAAAGAAGGAGTAAGAGATAGGGTGAGAAGCTCTGTCATCCGGGAGGGGCTTGGAGTAGATCTGCTGCTCCTCCACATCGAGAGGAGCCAGTTGACGTGGCTCGGGCATCTGGTTACAGTGTTTCCCCTAGGAATTTTTCCAGCTGTGGCGGTGGGGCCGGCCGGGGGTGGGGGGGTCTTGGGGGAGAAATTATAACAACGTCTCTAAATAAAGTAAAGTTTTCTAGTGCAGAGTGGAGACAACCTATAGAAGCACTGATTTGATCTCATTTCAGAGAAAAATAGAACAGGTTTGATGTACCTAATAAATAAAATTACTAACAAACTCAGGAATCTGTTTCTTTGCTTCACTGTTCTGGTGCTGAAAATATCAATAATGGGGATCAAAGGAGATACACAGATGAATGCACCTCTTATTTATTATTTGGAGTCTACATTTACTGCAGCTGGCAGAGGCAGAGATTTTTTCTATTGATACACAGAATTTACAGAATCATTTTAAATTTTAATAGGGGAAGACTGCAGAAGGGAGCGGTAAATTACAGGGGGTCCCCAGCAAAAACAAGAAACTTTACGAGTCTGATGAAACCCGCTGGTTTTCCATCAGGCAGTCACGGGGCAGCTCCAACGACCCAGTGGCTGTGCTGGGTCAATGTTATCGAGCTCAGTCCGGCTCGGCCGTGAACGAGCCGAGGAGACGTCGTGCTCTGCTTAAGAAGAGGTGTTATTTTCCCGCTTCAGAAGAAGCGTCCAACGTGTTTTTATGCTTTCTCCGAGACATGTCACGTCGCTAAGTTGTTAGCGCCGCGCGCTAACACGTCAATAGTGCAGCGTAGCCTGCTGGAGGTTTTAAGGGTTCAGATGAAAACACCCGACCTCTCACGCTGCTCATATATCGATCTTAAGTTGTCGCTGTTGCGCTCACGCCGTAATACAGTATTAGATGCGGTTAAAGTCAGACATGATAAAATAAATAAATTTTACATGAATAAGTGATGCTTAGCCTGGTGGGGGGAGGAAAACCTGGCTTAATAAGCACTGGAGGGAACCCTGTCAAGATCGTCAGCACTCGTTTATCTTAATGCTATTGAAAGCATCATATCCACTGCTACCTTTCTAATTTTATACTCAGTAACTTATGCTGTAACTTCACCTTGCCCTGCCTGCTCCTCCTTGCTGCCCGCCGGCTATGATCACAAGCGACAACATAGTAGGGCTGCAACAAACGATTATTTGGATAATCGATTAATCGGATGGGGTCTCGACACGATTAATCGATTAATCGGATTACATGGGGAAATTTTTAAAAACTGCTAGGGAAACGTTATTTCTCTCCTTCCTTCACTTCATTTAACACAACATTATTAGAAAACAGTTCAATAGCAGAAAAACAACATGCCATCACCTAAATTGTCTTATAAGGTGTATAGACAGAGACCCTAAGCTACATCTATCTGTGACCTAAAATGCTTGGTCCAAGTTAAACAGCTTAAGGGCAATTCTCATCTGTTTTGTTTGATCTCATCTGTTGACATTTATTTTAAATGTAATTAAACATAGGCTGTGAATTAATCAAAATTGATCACTATTTCCAAAAATGACTGAAAAAATACCAAATAAAACAAAAGTAAATGAATGCCATTCTCCTTGCGATGATGCCCTGGGCAACTGCCATAAAGTCACATCAAGAAATGCTGCTGATCATTCCAATGATCCCAAATAGACTCACATTAGGCCACATGAAAGCAACTGAACCCAAAAATATATTAACCAGTATATAACTGCACTCTCACACAACACGCCTGCAGCAACAGTTAGGACTCCTCCCTCCCTTTTAAAAGCGTTTTTGCTTCCGAGGACATTGTGGTTGTAAAACCACATGCTAGTAGTCTGGCCCCGGTGTGATCAACCAGTTTCTGCGGGAATGTGACGGCGGAACCAGGGCCAGATTAACACTTTGTTGTACCCTGGGCAACAATATTCAAGGGCTCCATCATCACGACCCGAGGATCACCATAATGTGGTCACATACAGAATATTTTACTGTAATATGCAGTAAATATACTCAATACTTGAATGCCTGACAACACGTAACCCGCCCAGAGTAACCTTTGACCCACCTCGTGTGGACTGACCAATGAGGAGAGGGTCTTAACTTGAGGCCCTCTCTTCATTGGTCAGTCTGCATGAGACTGACTCTCAACTGACATTCGAAGTCGTAGGCAGCGAAGCGTCTCTGTGCAGTGCAAAAGCCCGGGTGGACAGTTTGTTTAATGTAGGGTGATCATATTTCCATTTCCAAACAAGAGGACAGGGGATCTGTGCCTATGATGTCACACTATGGCAACGCCACACAAACCATGTTGGGACCCATTTTTTGTAAGAACTAAATTAATATCAGATTCTGCCAATAAAAGGGCTCTAAAACAATTCATATGTAAATATTTTGCATATTTAATGCAAAATCTCATTTTTATGCTTTAGTGCTGCAACAAGGTTTTATTAATAATAAATTATTATACCTTTTGTTTTACTACAGCATCGGTAAGCTTCCTGTGCACAGATTATTAAGGATGCTTGTTTCAGCTGTGAGATTAGACGATAGGATCAATGATAAAATAAGTTGTCACACACTCCATGGAAACTTTCAGATAATCCACAAATAGTGGCTTTCAAATGGTTTTGTTACTTTTTGCAAGTTTAGAAAAGAAGCTGATGAGACAGCATGTCTGATAATTTAGTTTTTCATCTGATAATATTAGAACATGTCAGTAATGTCTGAGGGGCTTTTATAAACACTGTATAACTAACACTACTGGAGAGGGCATCAATTACACAGAGGCTTCTGGGGAGCCCAGTTATGGGGGGGGGGGGGGGGGGGGACATTTTGCCTTGGCCCCCAAAATGTCTTGAAACGGCCCTGGGTGTGTGACTGAGTTTTGAAGGTGATCTGAATTGTATCAGATGTATAAATATGACATGTGTATAACTTATTGTTTTTTACTGGTAAAAACGTGTAGTGGAGATAAATCTACCTACATTTTACTTTGTTTTCTTGTTTTTATTTAACTATTTTCCTGTCCTGTCTGTCTCTCATCTTCCTGCATCTCCTCATAATTCTCCAGAAAATCTGTTGCCTGGATTCTTACTTTTTCACCTCATCAGTTACTTTTGAGCAGATCAAAGAGATCTCCTGACCGCAAAGCGGAGAGCGCGTTTTCGATGCTGCGTGAGGTGAAATCACCACAGCACAGGTGATGAGCTCCGCAGCAGAGCGCTTCAGGCACAAATAAGACAGAAAATAGAGAACATGTGCAGACAAGAACGATCGTGTGCTAATTATAGTTTTTTGGTTGCGCCACTTTGAGAATGGACCGTGCGCTGGAAGCAGCTGCCTGGATCGCTGTGCAACAATGCGGAACCGGTTCGCAGCAGCGCAAGTCTGCAGGCTCTCCCTCGCGCTGATCTGCGGCTCTCCCTCGCGCTGATCTGCCTCTACCGGCTCTCCCTCGCGCTGATCTGCGGCTCTCCCTCGCGCTGATCTGCGGCTCTCCCTCGCGCTGATCTGCGGCTCTCCCTCGCGCTGATCTGACTTGCTCTGGTCTGCGCGCAACGGTGGGCGGGAGGGGGGGGGGGGGGGCGCTTTTGGAAGAGTTGTGCGACACAACGAATCGATGACGCAATTCGTTGCCAACGCTTTTAGTAATCGATTTTCATCGAATTCATCGATTCGTTGTTGCAGCCCTACAACATAGTAGTTCCCGCTGCTTCTTCGGGAAACAGCGCAAAAAATATCTATATATTTGGGATCTTGTAGGCGTGGCGGTGGGATTTCAGCCGTGGCGGGCTGCCACGGCTACGCCTATGTAAGGGAAACCCTGGGTTAGGATGCCTCTTGTACACTGGTGAGGTTTCCCAGGCACATCCAACTGGGAGGAGATCTAAAGGTAGACGCAGGACACGCTGGAGGGACTATGTCTCTCGGCTGGTCAGGGAACACCTTGGGATTCCCCTGGAGGAGCTGGCCCAAGTGGCTGGGAACAGGGAAGTCTGGGCCTCTCTGCTTAGGCTATTGGCCCCAAGACCTGACGCCAGATAAGCGGATGAAAATGGATAGTTGATAATAATTTATTAATAAACACAAACCCGATTAGTCTTTTATGTTAAACACATTTTCTCCATAAATTATTTTAATACTCTACAAACATGAGTAAATATAAAGCATGTTCAAATTAGCCATCCGTGATCTGTAGCTCTTAGGCTCTGCTCTGCGTTTAAATGACAGTCGACTTATTGATTATTTGGCCAGTTAATATCTAACGCAACCTTAGTAAAAATAACATGATAAACACTATAGTCCAGTAAGTTCTTACAACACAGAACAAAGATTTGTGAATGCTTGTATTTTCATCCTCATCCGTCCGTTTCCAGTTTATTCTCCAAGAACAACTTGAAATGAATAGTTTTGGGAAAAAACAAAACAAAACAAAGGTTGATGCAGACATGAGTGATGTGCATTGTCCTGAGTTTGGCTGGCAGCCAAGCAAATGAGCGTCTGATGTAACCATGATCTCATCTCTGAGCTGTGAGCATCATCAGAGTAACTTGCACAAACTCCTCCTCTCACTCTTGTTGATGTTGGACCTCTCAGCTGCATTTGACATGGTGGACCATGACATTTTATTGTCCCGCCTTGAGAATTTGGTCGGCATTAAGGGATCCGCGCTTGACTGGTTCTGCTCCTACTTTGACAACAGGTCTATTAGAGTTAGAATGGACGACTGTTCATCTCCCGCTGCTGCTCTTCCTTGGGGCGTTCCACAGGGGTCTATCCTCGGCCCCCTTTTATTTAGCATTTATATTATTCCACTGGGACTAATCTTCAGGAAGTTTAACATTAACTTTCATCTTTATGCGGACGACTGCCAGATTTATGTTCCATTGAAGGCTATTACCTCCATCCAGCCGCTCCTTGATTGCCTGAGTGAGGTTAAAGACTGGCTGTCAGCAAATCTTTTGCTGCTGAATGATTTTAAGACCGAGTTTATTGTTTTTACTCCTAATGGCTCGTCTTCCTCCGCTCCTGATTTTTCTGCTCTTCCTTTTAAAATTAGTCAGACAATTGTTAATCTTGGAATTAAAATGGATGTGGCTCTAAAAATGGACTCTCACGTTAATCACATGGTTAAATCATGTTTTTATCAGCTAAGACGTCTTTCCAAACTAAAACCCATTCTGAATCGGCGCCACCTCGAGACAACCATTCACGCTTTCATCACCTCAAGGTTGGACTACTCCAACGCAATTCTGTTTGGTATTTCAAAAGCCGCATTATCTCGCCTTCAGCTGATACAAAATACGACGGCAAGATTTCTGACCAATACTGGCCGTCGTCAGCACATCACTCCAATTTTAGCAAGACTTCACTGGCTTCCTGTGCACTACCGCATACGTTTTAAAATTTTATTGTTTGTTTTTAAGGCGCTGAATGGCTTAGCACCACCCTACATATCCGAGTTACTCACTCCTTATGTGCCAGGCAGGACTCTCCGTTCAGGTGACCTACACCTACTACAGATTCCCCGTCAACGCTGCAAAACCCGTGGTGAACGAGCTTTTTCTGTCTGCGCTCCAAAACTTTGGAATGATCTCCCACTGAATATCAGAATCTCCTCCTCCATTGGGGTTTTTAAGTCCCACTTAAAGACTTATTTTTATTCTCTTGCTTTTACTACCTAGCTATTTTATCGATGGTTTATTTACACTGTTCTTTGACTGATTTTATTGACTTCTCATGGTTCTTTTTGTTCTGCTCTAGTTGTTTTATTCTTTTATATTATTCTTTTAACCCTATATGTTTTTACCCCTGTACAGCACTTTGGTCAGCTCACATGCTGTTTTTAAATGTGCTTTATCAAATAAATGGAATGGAATGATGTAACCATGATCTCATCTCTGAGCTGTGAGCATCATCAGAGTAACTTGCACAAACTCCTCCTCTCACTCTTGAGAAAATCATTTGCGTGTGTGTTTGACACACTCCCAATGTGTGAGCAACAATGACACTGTGACACAGATGGACAGAGAAGGGTAATTACCCCATCTGGAGCTGCTTGACAACAACAAAGCTCCATGCCGTTACCGCGGCTGCACTTCAAATTGGCAAGCGTTAATTTCTTTCCCTGTGGTAAGTCCTCACAGGCAGCACGGAGAGTGAAAACTCTAGCCGATCCGATCTACCTAAGACGTCTCGTCAGAACCATCGACAAAAACAAACAAGACATCCTATTGCATTCATTTTACAGTTACTCACCGTTTTCTTTTAAAAGGAGACTTTGGGATATCAGCTACGGGAATCATCTGTTCTCCCGGTCTGACCCACATTATCGGGCCGTCGTCGCTCTCCGTGGGACTCATGTCTCTCAGACTGGATATTGTTCCCCAGGGAAGAGTTTGCTAGAGTCAGAGGAGACAACCAGACAGAAAAGTGAGACTGAGAAAACACAAGAAATAATTCAACTCTCAACTTTTCCCACCAGCTGATCATCTCATCAACTATTGTGTTTGTTCATCCACAACAGCAGTCAGAAGAGCAGCTACTGCTCCCCTTAAACACATCAATAACCTCCTTCAGATAGTGAAGAATCAAAGCCAGTGATCCACAGAAAAAGCCAGAGGATGTTTGCCGTTTTAGACTCGGAGATGCTGCTCCTCTACTGTGCACGGAGGAGATTTGAAGTGTCAACACAAAACAGCAAACAGGAGACATTCCTGTCAATTCTGCATTTGGGGATAGCAGCAAAAACATGATTCTGCTGTCTGCTGCTGCATTTGGGAAGGAGAACTCGGAGCTGCATCAAATCGCTTATTTATTTTACACTGAGATTATTTTGAGTGATGCTTTGGTTGATGTTGAAGAGAAAAATGTGTCACTGGTGTACAAATCACATAAAAATCCTTTTTAAAAAAACTCTTTACCGTTTTATCTCAATATTGGTCCCTTACAAGTGTTAGAATTAGAATTTCAATATTTATCTAAAAATGAAAGTGAAGACTGTAAAATCTGAAACGTCTTTAGAGACGAATAACCCTAAAATAAATTTCTAAATCTTTTACGCCGGTCTAAATCTCTCTGTCGCTTTTCTATCCACTAGCCATTTATCAACTGGATTACTGCCAATCATCTGGTGCAGACTCACCTTCAGGAAGGGGGACTCCTCCAGCAAACCGAGGAATTCTGGGAAATAATCCCCCACCTCCTCATCAACAGCTCCGACCAGGCTGACCTGTCTCATTGCCCCAGCTCTGTACGTGCCGTGACTGTAAGTTCTCTTCACCTGGTGGAAAAGGAAAGATTACCCAATACGTTTAATAGGAAGTTCTCTACAGAATACTCGGTTTTTTATTAGGCAACTCAGGTGGAAATAACAAATGAATTAAAAACAGCAGCAAACGTTGCAGCTAAAATCCTCTCCCATCAGAGCTTCCACACATTTCAAATGCTCCCTGCTGAGCTGCAGAAACAGAAGCATTCTATTTAATATGACATTTCTAATTAATTTCCCATTCAAAAGGAGTTTGAACAACAAAATAATTATTTGGTATTTTATGCCGATGAGAAAACTTAATACTAAACCCCTGAAGGCAAAAACAAATTATTACACGCTTTCTGACTTTTATATTCATGGAAGACTTTTTTCCTCTGAGTGTTTTGTTAAAACTTTTTAAAGGCCCGATTTGTCTGTTTATGCAACTAATGAAATTTTCCCATGTCAGTGAACTCACCGGTTCCACATCTTTGCCTAGAATCATGAATGCTCACAGTTTATTCCAGTGGAAACGACAGAAAAACACTGAATTAAAAACACACGTCTAAAGTGGAGAACAACAAACAGAGGCTGTAAACCACTACTGGGCGTCAGAATAGATGCTGCATGTGTTGGTGTGTCCACTTCATGTATTCACCGATGACACTCAATCAATCAATCAATCAATCAATCAAAGCTTTATTTATAAAGCGCCTTCCGCAACCCTGTCAGGAAGCCCAAAGCGCTGAACATAGTACAGTTGTAAGTAAATATATTGAATAAATCAACAATAAAAGAAATTCAAATTACAAAATACAAAATGGAAATTACAAGATAGATGAAACATTCTGGTAAAGGAGACTGTTTGCTCAGACTGTTTGCTGCTTTTTACTTGGCTGACAGAGCATTGTGTGTGTGTGTGTGTGTGTGTGCGTGTATGTATGCAGTTTGTGCAGCATGTGGCGTGCATGCTGTACCCTTGGCTGATCAGGATGTGTGTGTATTTGTTGGTGTGTGTCCCTATGCGTGTTAAAATTAGCCAAATCCTTGGCTGCATGCCTCCAGTGAGTCACCACTCCACAGCGAGGCAGAGACAAAGGCAAGAGAGACCGAGCGGAGGGAGAAAAGGCAGGAGCCACAGGAGAAAAAGAATGTGGAGAAGCTAAACAGATGGGTAGAAGTGGTGAGGAAAAAGAGAGGCAGTTACTGAAGGCAAGGTCTGAAACGAATAACGTGGAGACGAGACAGAACGGGAGGAAATGAGAAGGGAAAAACTGAAATAAGTAAAAGTAAATAACAGAAAGACGATAATGAGCAGGTACAATTTAAAATGAGGGATGTGTTTTTGGGATGTTAATAGATTAAATCAACCAGCAGAAACAGGTGAGGAGCCTGGTGGAATTTCTAATTTGGATATGAAATGGGATTTACCAGAAAACACTAAAGGTGTTAGTATGTGGTTCTGATCAAACAAATCTTAGGTTTTAAGAGTAGCTCACACTGTAAAAATGATGCTCACAAAGACCGGGTCCCTACTTTAGCCACTACAGCCTCGCTTGTTTATGTGAAGTGACGAAAGGGAGACATGCAGTAGTGAGGTGAGGTGAGGTGAAGAGGTCTGCTGCAGAAGAACGCTACATTAATCACTAGGTCCAAAGTTTAAAGCTGAATAAATCCGAATAATGCCCATGGTTTCTGAGAAAAACTTTTCTGTGGTTTTAATAGGCACATGATTGGCCAGAAACACCAGAAATAATGTCACGATTTTAACAACCAACCCGCTGCATCAGAACAGAGAAGGAGAGTCTCCTTTTCTCCTCATGCTTCCGAATTAAAACACATCAGTAGAAGATAAATGTGAGACTCTGTAGCTGTATATGTACAGCGAGATAGTCTGCTATAAAAACAAGGCTATGCCTGTTTAGGTGAAGCGTCACCAGAAAATATTTTTAGCCTCAGTCAAACTTAAGCTAATAAACTGAGGAGTTGAATCACATGAATGAGGAGATATGCCAGGATGCTGAAGATCATTAGTATTGGACCACACGAACAATATAACAAAATAGTTTTACACTATTTGATATAATAAATACATTCATAAAGGTCATACGGAAAGCACTTACTGTACAAAAATAATGGTCTTTACTTACATTTGCATCACTTGTCAAAGGCTAGAATGCTAAAGGAATAATTTACAGGCAGATTTTTAGAACCCGTAATGAACATAACGAAAGTTTTGTCTAAATTAAACATGTTTTCCTGTAAATTTGTGAGTTTTTGTGAAATATAGCAGAATATTTCACCTAAACTTTAATGTATTACACAATATTTTAGGTTAATAAAGTGTGCTTCAATCATGAAAGAATTCAGAAAAATGACAGAAAAGGTGGAATTTGAGAAAAAGCTAAATGACTAATTTGAGGGGAAATAAAAGGTTAATAGTTCAGATGGAAAAAAGTAGATGGTCAGAGGCAAGTGAAGGGGATAAAAAGATCCAGTTTACTGAATTTAATGAGGGTTGAAACTGGACAAAAGAAGGTTCTCAGCAGTTCCCAGATTTGTGTCAGGGAAACGACAGAATCCCCACAGCTACTTCTAACCAAATCCCAGAAGATCATGGAGCCGATCATATCAGAGCAGCAAGTGTATTCTGTCATTATTTACAAATAACTGAACATTTTACTCATGATCAATTCTGTTTATCTGTGAAAAGTGGGCCAAGCCACATGAACGTTATGCTTAATGCTTCATTTCATGGCATCTGTGCCTCGACTCTGATGAGGACTAAAATCTTAGAATATTCACTCGACACACAAGACAGCTGAGAAGGTGTTACTGAGTCAATGACCTAGATACAAAGAGGAAATGTGAGCGCACACACACACACACACACACACACACACACACACACACACACACACACACACACACACACACACACACACACACACACACACACACACACACACACACACACACACACACACACACACACACACACACACACACACACACACACACACACACACACACACACGTTTACAAGTAGTAACTGTTGACTTGCCGAGTGTCGTGGCCATTGGTCTGGGTGCATGAATTTAATTAGCTGTTGTTTATAAACATCTCTACCATTTCTGTATGCGTGTGTTTACATGTGAATAATTTAACAGCTGAATAACCCCCATGCTGTTTGCAAAGAGAGGCATTAGGAAACACGACCCCGGCTCACATAAACAGTCAGTGGTTCACTTTGTTTGTATTATGTAAAGGAAAACAAGTTTATATTCCTATGAGATCTTCTCTTCAATAGTTCTATAACCATTGTGTTTGTCAGTGCAAACACATGATACACTGCTGTTTTACTAACACCATTTACCATTGCCGTCCCTCCTAAAACCCACCTCCCTGATGTGAAGTCACCAACATTAGTTCTCTCTAATATTCAGTAATAAGTTCATGTCTTGCCATAATCTCACTACTCTACCGGACCTTTGTTTAACCTCTGCTTATCTGGCTGCATCCTCCTCTTCCACAACTCTCAGTGGATTGGTTCTCAGTCCTTCAGACCATAAGTCTATTAGTCCATTATCATGCCTGCGTCACAACAAAGCTTCTGGCTGCTGACTGATGCCTCAGACATCACGAGACACACTTTTGTTTCATCTCGTCTCCTTTAGCCGAGCTTCAGAGAGAGTTCGCACCTGTAAGTATCCCAGTAGTGACATCACACAAGTAATTTAATAAGGGTGCTGTTGAAACTGTGTTCAGCATTTATAATAACTCAATTTAAAAACAAAAAACAAAACAACTGTTTTGGGGCAAATTTATGATTTCCGTTTAGTTTCATGAAATAATTCAAAGCTGGGAATTACTGTAACAAGATAAAAATAACAAAGCTTCAATGATAAGCTGCACTGAGTTCTTTTGCACTGTATGCATCACCTGGTGTTGTAACTACATTTCTTTGCTCAGTAACTGAAGACAGACCAAATTAGCTCACAGTACAAGCACATTGTGTATTGACTGCTGAGCTCTGTCTACCCTGAGAAAATGGAGTGCTGTAATCTTCTATAATCCTCACCAGCACTGAAAATGGCTTCAGTCAGGTACGAAATTCAAAACACAGACACCCATCAACTTTGCTGCCTGCACTCACATTCAGAGCATCACAATTATACCGTGAACTCCCAGAGCTCAAGAAACAAGTACAAAAAAATCTTTACAAGCAGCTGCACTTTTTCACCTCTCGTGGCTACACAACAGAGCAGAACCGCCGTGTGGAGGGATAAAAGAGACACTGAAAAACTAACAGAGAGAGGGACTCAAAAAGGCACACTGGCTAAGAGAAGAGAAGAGAAAAATGTGGACGATATGCCATTAATCTGAGTGTGTATGCGTACCTGCCTCTGTACACGTTATCAGTATGCAAGCTCACATCTGTGTGTATGTGACTGTATATCTACCTCCCAAGGTCACTGCTGAGAGCTGCAAGGGAAGAAAAAATCAGCAAGGCCAGCGGACAATGACGTTAGCCCTGCAAGAAACATTGCTCTGTAAAATGGGGCTGTGCAAGACACGGGTTTGCAGGGAAAGATTAGATCAAATAGAGACAATGGGCAATTTAGATAATTTTTTTTTTGCTAAAATGTGCAGAGATAAGGAAAAGTTTTTGTGAGGGCAAACTGCAATGAGCCTTTTTATTAAGATTTCTGTGAGAGAAAAAAGCCAGAAAGCAACAACAGATCTACGAAAAAACACTTATAAAAAGAACAAGTTGGAGCAGAGTACAAAGCCACTCAGGAGGTTTGAGGCAACAAAAGGCTTTTCATTATTAAATGAAAGAGATGGCACAACTCTCACTGAGGAGGTCTCACTGTGTCGCTGGGCTCGGGGAGCCATTCAGATCAGCCACTAGGAGGAAAATCCCATTTCTTCCAGTTGTCCTCAGAAGATTATGTGGTGTTTTTAAGGGTCAGCTGAGAGGTTTCAGACTACAGCTGCTCTAACACTTGTGGCTTATAAAGCAAAGA